GTACCTCAGAGACCGCCTCCTGCCAATTACCTCCAAAAGACCGATTTGATCTCACAGGCTTGGCCTTCTCCGGGTTTCATCAGCCAGCCAATGTCGGCTGGCAACCCCCCGGGGGAGAGCCTTCTCTGTTGCTGTGCCGGCCCTCTGGAATGAGCTCCCCATGGAGATCCAGACCCTTACTACCCTCCCGGCCTTCCGTAAAGCTACCAAGTCCTGGCTGTTCCGACAGGCTGGGGGCTGTTGGAATATCCACCCCCACCCCAAATGTGGAAAAAATGCATTTTTAAATTCTTTGTATTGTCTTATTTATTTCCCTTTCCCTGTTTATTGTGAGCCACCCGGAGTCCTTCGGGAGTGGGCGGCATACAAAACTAATAAACAACAAACAACAACAACAATATTAAATTCACTATTAGACTATTTTCAGTGTATTCTTGTTGAACCTTATCTATATGGACCACCAGTTTCTATCAAGATATTAATTCTTTCTTAACTGAAAGATTCAGAGAATCAGTAAACTCTATTAAAATATTATATATCCTGTATATTGTTTGTCCCAATTACTCAAAGAGGTAGTCAAATGTCCTTACAATAAAATCAGGCAATAATATTTTAAAAGATTATTCATACCATAATCTATTACAAAAGATAAAGTCCTTAATTTTACAGCATGGATGAATTTTAGTCAAGTTATATTTAATCCTTTATAATTGGTTTTTTGTATGCATAGGCATTCATATAATGTTCATAGTAATATTAATTTAGAATCTCCCAATAATTAACTGTTACTGTACATAATCGGGAATACATATCCTGTAATAGATCTTTTTGATGTTATTATCAAAGTTTGCAAACTGCTATAGATTAAACCACTTTATGTCTCAATAATATTTTTAAATGCAGTAGCTTTTGTATATTGGAAGATGAATATTAAAAATGGAAACTTCAGAGTTAGCATTAGCTTTTTAGATGGTTCTAAAATGTTCTATTTACCTCATCTGTTTTTTAAACATAAATTAATGTAATTAAAATTAAATGACTGACTAAACCTGATGAATTGGACAGAAATTTAGTTCTGATTAGAGCTAGAACCACTGAAATTGAACCATTTCATTTAAAATGTAATAAAATTTAAGATTTACATTGTTTTTCTTTTATTCAGACATTTTATTGATCTCACTGGGCATATTACCTCTTATATCAGATCTCAATAATATTCCAAGTTCTCAAAATAAATTTTATAGCCTGAAGGTCTTCTGTTCTTATAAGATTAGAAATCTAGTTCTACTAGTGACTTTTTTGGTCTCCTTCTCATGAAGGCCAGTGTAGGTTTTGTTTATCAATGAGTTGTGGAAACAAGAATGCATTTTTTTTAATGGTGTAGAAACAGGTTTCAAAATTCCACATTAATTCATGTGTTTTAGAAGCTGCTAATGCACCTGAATTAGATTGCCAAATGAAGAGATGCTTTAATTGAATATACTTCTATTCTGCCAATTTAGGCAATCTAAAGTACTTTTGCAATTACTCATAATTTAAAAATCCAGTTGACAATAAAAGGATCCAAAGTTTTCATATTCCTATTTGCCTATGATTTTTTTTTTTTTAAAAAAGCTATGTACAACTAAGGATTCCTCTCTTCTTTCCCGGCTCTGGATGAAAGTTTGTAAGACCCATGGGAAAATGTCTCCATGCCAACAGGACGGACTTCCTTCCTCACTTCTGAATTCATCTAATCTTGGCTGCATCTTTCCCCTGGGAACTCCTCTTCGTTGACCCCAAGTTTTTAGTTGTATAAAACTGAGAAAAAACGCATGGGAACATAGGAATTTCTACAGCATTATTATCAGCATTTTTGAGAAGGTTCCACCATCACCTCATTCCCACCAGAGGCAGACCTCTTTTTACCAATTTCATGTTTTCACCTTTGCTCATTAGATANATCTATCTATCTATCTATCTATCTATCTATCTATCTATCTATCTATCTATCTATCTATCTATCTATCTATCATCTATCTATCTATAAATGGCTCTTTGTGTGTGTGTGTGTGTGTGTGTGTGTGTGCGTGTCTGTGTGTGTGAGTTCCAGTATAACTCTGGAATGCATTGAGCAATTTCAACCAAACTTGGTACACAGATGACTTACTCTCTGGAAACAACTGTGGAGGTAAGACATCCCAAAAACCCCTAGGAGTATGTGTTCTGTTATGATATAGCCTGTTGTGCCTTCAAATGGCTTCTACTGTACTGCCGTAAAATGACTTATACTGTATAGCACGGTGGAGTTCCCATGGTAGTGCTTCACAGCACTCTACAAGGGAGCTCCCTATGATAAGGGGGAAATCCAACATTAGAAATTACGTTTTGTCTGGACATTTCCCCTTTATAAATAAATACCTGGACAATTATGGGTTATCAGCTAGTCTTAAATAAAATCTCATTCATTTTCAAAGGAGAACACTGAAATTTAGAAATCTTGTGTAAGAGAATCTTATATTCTCACAAAACTTTAGGTTTTTTTTTTTTAATTGTTTCAATTTAAGGAGACTCTGGCTGCCATCAGCCAAAAGCCCATGTTGATATATCGGGCCTTAAACCGTTGCTGACTATTCAGTTGAGTTCAGATGGGTTTTTCAAAACCAAAATTAAATAGGATTGCCACTACATTCAGTAAATTAAATATATCAATTTAAATTAAATACATTGTTAAGATCCATTAAGTACATTAAAGTTGGGACACCTTGCCGTGCTGAAGCTAACACCTTAGGAACAACAGCTGTGGCTTTGGTTTATTCCACAGCTGAATATTGTGCCAGCATGTGGCTTAACAGCACCCACACCCAAATGGCCAGTGGCCAATTGCACCGGACAATGCATATCATTTCTGGCACATTGCATCCCACTTCTGTGCAATGGTTACCAGTACTTAGCAATATCATACCTCTCCATATTAGAAGACAAGAAGCTCTTGATCGGCTGAAATCAAGGATGCTTAACAACACAACCTTCCCTATTCACCAGGACAATGCATAGCCCATTACAAGATTTAAATAGGCCAGCATAAAAGTAAAAGGTAAATGTTCCTCTCACAAATACGTGCTAGTCATTCCCGACTCTAGGGGGCAGTGCTCATCTCTGTTTCAAAGCCGAAGCGCCAGCGCTGTCAGAAGACGTCTCCCTGCTCATGTAGCCTTCCCACCAAAGGTGGTTCCTATTTTTCTACTTGCATTTTTACATGCTTTTGAACTACTAGGTTGGAAGAACCTGGGACAAGTAACAAGAGCTCACTCCATTACATGGTGGTAGGGATTCGAACCACCAACCTTTCTGATTGACAAGCTCAGTGTCTTAGCTACTGAGGCACAGCGTCCAGCATAATAAACCACTATTCATTTAACATCTGCCTAATTTAACCCCGAGAATGCCTGGAGAGAGGAATGGTCCAGGATACCTCCTTATGGCCTGACCCTACCTCCCTCTGTCTGGATGAATTAGATATGATGCTGGAAGAAGTTCCTCTGTCTTGTATCAGTGGGAATGGAAAGATTGCCCTTGAAGTGATTGTGGTGCCAATATGCAAACCATTAACCATATTGTGCAAGATTGCCCAGGATGTGTGTTCTTTGGCTTCCTAGAAGATCTGCATGAAGGAATGCCGGAACCGATCAGCTGGATATCTGAACTGGACATCCCATTATGAGGCCCCTGCCTTTTTCCCATAGAAGTTTTGAATACAATTATATGGATTATGTGGATATGTTTATTTCTCATCTGTCATATTCTAATCATATGCTAAGTAGTAATAACTACATTAAGTATCACTTACCAACCTAATTTATGCAAATGGGTTTCCAAAAGGGTCATTACAAGGAACAGAAGACAATTGCTGTTGTTGAGCTGTAATCTGGAGACAAGAGGAAAAAAATCACCATGATTTGAAGATATTTTTGCAGACAAACTTTTTGCCAAGCCAAAGGTACATTGAACACTCCTATATTTTTAGAATTTTTTGACATACAGAAGCAAAATTAAACACTACTTTTCTAGCAGCTAATGTTACCACCGTATACTTTTCAGGGGAAAACTAAGCATAATAATTACATGTTACAAAATTGAGATGTAGATTTCTTGCAAAGATGAAAGACAAGCAATTTAGGCATTTTGACACCTTGAAAAACTGTAGGACATGGACGACTTCAAAATATTTGCCACAATAGCTTGGTCTCTTCAGGCCCAAAACTTACCCAGTTTAATGGCTCATTTAGTTCAGCACCAAGGAAGTCTGTACAGTCTACCTACATTTAGCCCAGTTTAAATACACCCAACTTACTAGTTGTGGATCAAAGGTAGCTTGAGAATTATTCATACTTCTAAAATTATCATTTTTCGGAAAAACGAACCAAGAAGGCTTTCCTGAAATATGTCTCATTAAGAGTAAAGGTAAAGGTAAAAGTTCTCTTGGCACACATGTGTTAGTTGTTCCCAACTCTAAGAGGTGGTGTTCATCTCCGTTTCAAAGCCAAAGAGCCAGCACTGTCTGAAGACGTCTCCATGGTCATGTGGCTGGAACAGAACGCTGTTACCTTCCCACCAAAAGTGGTCCCTATTTTTCTACTTTCAATTTTACATGCTTTTGAACTCCTAGGTTGACAGAAGTTGAGACAAGTAACAGGAGCTCACTCTGTTATGTGGCGCTAGGGATTCAAACTGCTGAACTGCCGACATTTCTGATCTACAAGCTCAGCATTTTAGCCTCTGGGCCACAGCATCCGTTTCATTAAAAGTATCTGTAGCTTTTTCCAATATTATCAGCTTATTAGATATTAACAAATAAGTATGAATTTTATTTTTTCCACCCATCTGTCTACTATGGATTTTCTTCTACAAGAGTAACTGACACAGAGAAATGTTATGTTGGATTACGTAACTAAATCTGGCTTGGAAAATGTGGTGGGCCAACTTTTGATTAACTTTAAAGTCTCTTAGGCCATTAAAAGGAGTGCCTTTCTCTGTAAAGAGTCACCTATGTGAATCAGAACTTTCTTTTTAAGGTACACTAAGAAGAACATGGGACACGGTGGCTCAGTGGCTAAGACGCTGAGCTTGTTGATCAGAAAGGTCAGCAGTTCAATGCCCCCTAGAGCTGGAAACAACTAGCACATATGTGCGGGGAACCTTCAGAATAAAGTCTTTCTACTTTACTGGGAACCCCCCCCCCTCCCATTCTGGCTCCTCCCAATTAGAGGCCACAGCTTTGTTATTCAGTTTAACAGCTTATAGGAGCCCACTTTTTTTCCACTTGAGAGAAAACACTGGATCGTAGCTATATGTAATATTTCTTATCGTCTTTTCACACAACATTCTAAACTAGGCTAACGTGGACTTTGTGGTTTAACTTTTTATGTCAATCCAGGCATCGTCTTAATATTTGCGTATACTGGACCACTGAGTAAAGCCATAATACCATCTATTTATTTGAGCACAAAGTTTCTATTATGTCCATTTTTCTGCATGTAAAAATGGAGTCCGGATACTTACTAAACCTTGTGAGGGAGCAGCAAAAGGATCCATCTTGAAAGGATTCTCAAAGCGGTCTTCAACAGGCTTGGAAATAAGTGGGGCAGCATTTAACCTCAGACCAGGCTTCAGAGGCCCTATGTTGAACAAAGGATCACTCTTCAACGTATCCAAATGACATTATTAAAGGTTTGCCAGGAGGTTTATTATGTAGCAAAGAAGTACATGTTTGGCATCAAACATGAACTTCACAGGAAACAGAATCCAAATTGAGGATACCTCCACAAGAACAATACATAATGTGTTTCTGCGCACGCCCTGTCAAGGCTAGCTAAGCAACCAACATCGCATACTGTACATGCATGATCCCCAGATTTCATGCAACCAACACAAATCAACTTTGGAGTCAGGGACCTAGTTGTTTTATTTTGTTGTAGTTGTAGTTGTAGTTGAGTTTATTTATAGGCCGCCCTTTTCCCTGAGGGGACTCAGGGCGGCTAACAACTTGTATGGGAGGGG